GGGAGGATTTGCCTTTCTACCACTGACAGGACAACCACAACAGATTGACCCTCCAGCTTGCATCTTTGAAAGTAGGTTGATGATGACTGCAGGGTTGAGAAGGCTGGTCTAAGACTATCATATTCTGTAGTGACAAATGAGGGCAAAGGTCACACGACTCATCTGCTAACCAAAGTATTACAAGCAATGCTATCTAGGGCCCAACTTCTTCAGCTGTAGGTATAGTATTGCATAGCTGAATGAGGAAGGGTCATGAAAAATTTGGCAACGGTAAAAGGTTTCTGAATGTTCAACAAGCAGAAATTGATTCAAAATCAAACAAATAATGAAACCAAGGTGCTTCTGGGAGAGTTCATCTGCATGCTGTGGGAAATGTGCTTAACAATGAAGAAGGGAAATGTGCTTAACAATGAAGGCCGAAGCCGCAGGTTGTTTTTCATGAGGAAATGTGCATGCCCCAAGATCTATTCCATGCTGAGAATTAGTGGGCATTCCCCACTGCTTCCATCCCCCGCCCCTTCTCAGATCTTTACTACTAGGTTCTGGGTAGCTTTTCTAGCACGGTTCACAGCTCACAAGTAGACTCAATTGATGACTATTACTAGAGGGGGAAAAAAGCTATTTCACGTTTTGGGAAAAGCATGTAAAAATAATCAAGGAACAATTTGTTTTCAAGCACTCATGTGTTTCGGTCTCGTGTGGCAGAGTCCAAACAGAGCTGTTCAGCCGAGCCACACCCTGGGGTGATGCAACAGAAAATGAGACACAGACGGGGGCATGTTTTAGGATACGTAGGCTGTAAGCCAGCTAAAGCTGTCACCACGGGTTCTGACAGGATGTGGATCCATCAAGTAATGTTCAGCCAGTGCTCTTAACTGCTGAGCCATCTCTCAGGTGCTCCATTTTTTTAAAAGTAGAGAAGTTATACAACCAGAGCTGTATTTTAGTAAGAGGGATTTGGTGAGATGATGGGAGAGAGGCAAAGAGTTCTGGGAGCACAGGGCTAAGAAGGCGGCCCAGTCAGCAAAGTGCTTGTTTTGCAATCATGAAGACCTGAGTGCGATCCCCAGCACTATATAAAAATAAAATAAAATAAAAAACCAGATATGGTGGTGCACACTTGTAATATCAACACTAGGGAGGTACAGTCAGGTGGATCCCGGGGGTTCATTGGTCAGCCAACCTAGCCTACTCAGTGAGTTCCAGGCCAAAAAACAAGGTGGTTGGTGCCTAAGCAACAACACTTGGTGGTGTCCTCTAGTGCACACGCGCGTGCGCGCACACACACACACACACACACACACACATACACACACACACCTATGCATATATGTATATCTGCACATGCAGGAACACATATGCATACAGACATAAAAAAAAATTTAAGAAGTCTGAAGACAGGTAGACCTTAGGAGTATGTAGAGAATTAATAAACACAGTAGGAGAGAGGAACAGGAAGAGCACTCCAGAGCTGCATTAGAAAGCTCTGGCTTCTTGTCCCAAAGTAGGAGCTGACAAAGAAACAGGGTCGATTCTCATTTTCTGAGCACTGACGATGTTCTTACTTTCCAGTTCTGACTCATCAGGTTCCAACACATCACAGGAGGCGCTAGTTACTATTTCCCACCTGAGGGACCTGAGGCACAAGGAGGCAAATTCATCTATGAACAATCATCAGGATTTGAACCCAGGTTGTTAAACTGCAGAAGCTTTTGTGCATTGGTCACGGGGCATTCTTTCCAATCTCAGTGACTAGGAAAAGGTGACATCACCAGTTGAGATGGGAACAGGTCAGAAGGAGGAGTAGTTGGGCATATTAGTGGAGGGCTCAGTGGGCAGACAAGGTGTTGTTTGGGACATGTGAAGAGTCTAGATGCTCTTCCAGGACCTCAAGGGAATGTGTCCAGCAGACTTAGTGCCCCAGCCTGGTGAGGGAGCCCAGTTTTCATTAAAAAAGAATGAAACATCTGCAAAAATAATATTGGCTGAGTTTCCCAGTCAAGCTATTCAAGAAAGGCCCACTGAGCTAACAAACAGGAAAACCATGTCCCAGATGAAGGTTTGGCCAGAGATGCAGACGCAAAGGGTTCATCAAGGTTCTAGGGCCTCCAGAGCATTGTGAGTGCCACGTGAAGATGTCTGCAGAAGAGGCCTGGACCCAGCCTTGAAGAAAGAGGAGGAACGGGTGTCCCCCAGGCTCCTCATTGAGAAGAACAGAACTTCTCATTGCTGCCTGCCCACTAGAATCACCCTGGGAGCCTCACTCCAGAACCAGGTAAATCAGAACATCTGGGGGTGGGCTCTTCAGGGGTGTCAATGTGAAGACAAGGTGAAACCCACACTGAGAGAAGGATCAAGGCTGTCTTTGGAGATGACCAGGAAGCAGGGCAAGCAATAACGAAGTACTTTTCTGTTTATGAAGCACTCATATGTCTGTGGAGTTATTTCAGGAACACCTACCTGATTATTCTCCTTTAGCTGGGAAAACATGAAGAGAAATCAGAAATGACTTGTTCAAGGACAATTATTTACTAGAAAAGCCAAGACTAGAACTCAGATCTACTGGGCCCAAATTCAGGGCTGTGTCATAACATTACACATGGCGAGTCCATAGAGGGGAGGACAAGTTCATCTGTATTCACATACAAAAGAGAAGGTATGGGTGTTTCAGAGTAATTGTGCTGCACAGGAGTTCATCTAAAGAGAAAGCTCCAATGTTTGCTTTCTAATCTAATCTAATGAGGTGAAACAGCACAGAGACCCTACTGGGAAGAGCTGGAGACAGACACATAGCCTGATGGCCTGGGAGCAGGTGGGGTGGCTGCAGGGAAGGATCAGGCAGGAATGATGGGGGCAGAGTTAAGTACTGAGGCACGGGGATTGACTGGAGGGGTCTTGGCGCTGCCCAGGGTCCAAAAGCCTCATAGCTTGGGGTCTAGACAAAGCCACTACAGGAAGTGGTGGGCAAAGCTGAGAAGTTCCTAAAGGTATTTACCAGATAACAAGAATTCTTCTGAGCCTTAAAGGGATCACCACCTTGCTGACCAGATAATAAGCATCTGCCAATTTGTATAGAGCTGTATAATTTAAAATACACTGTTGGGGCTGGGAATTAGTTCAGCTGTCAGAGTGCCTGCCTAGTATGCACAAAGTCCTAGGTTCAATCCCCACCACTGTATAAAACGACATGATGGTGGCACACGTTTGTAATCCGAGCACTCTGGATATGGAAGCAAGAGGATCAAAAGTTCAAGGTCATTAACAGCCATGTAATGAGTTTGAGTCTATCCTGGGCTACATGAGCCCTTGCTTCAAAACAAAACAACATCAACAAAACTACCAATCAAAACTTATCTTCTTCCAGGTTCACAATAATTCAAAGTGAGCATTACTTTCCTACCTTAGTAGATCATGGACAAACAAGTATAATGCCTTGTGGGGATGCTAAGGGTAAGTTGAATAGTATATCTAACAGATCACCCAGCACTTTGGAGATTGAACTCACACCAATACATATGACTGCATCATGTGGATGTGGATGGTAAGGCTCAATAATGCCCAAAACCATTTAGTGGGGCCAGCAAAATGGCTCAGCAGGTAAAAGCACTTGCCACTCAAGTCTGATAACCAGAGTTCAAGCCCTGGAACCCACTGGAAGGGAGAACTGATTCCCAAAAGTTGACCTCTGACCTACACACACACACACACACACACACACACTCAATAGTAATAACAAAAAACCATTTAATGCTCACTGGCGTGGTGGTACATACCTAGCATCCCCAGGCTAAGATTGGAGAATTGGGAGTTCAAGGCTATCCAGGGCTGTAGAGTAAGACCCTGTCTGAGAAAAACAAAACAACAACAATATGAGCTTCAGAGCCTAGAACCATGAGCCTGGCAATTAAACTTTGGACAAGCCAGTTAATCACATAGAGTCTTTTTTTTTTTCTGGCATAAAATAGAGCCAATATCTGAAACTTTTCCCAGGATGGTTAAATGAGATTGTACACACAAAGCTTTTTAGCAAAGTAACAAGAAAATGATCAATGGCTCAATTCTTCTTAACAAGTCCTATTAAATCCCCCAAATGGCAAGTGGGTAGCCCAGCACAGGAATCTAGGCCAGGGCTCTCTGTGGTACACCAAGGTGACTTTTGACGGTAATGGACATTAAGCCAAGTGAGGAAGAATAGGAGCCAACACTCAGAGAGGGTTGGCTGCATTCACTACACTACCATCTCAGCAAAGCACAACCCCAGGAGGGCACTAGGAGGCTCAAGGAGGTTACTAGAACAGGTCACAGAACAGGAAGTGAGAGATAGGAAGTTAGGCTGACCTGACCCGGGACTCTACAGCCTTGGTCCACACCAGGGCTTCTCACTCAAGCACACATCAGAATCACCCATGGAACTTTCCAAAATCTAGATTCTGGGGCTGGAGAAATGGCACAGAGGTTAAGATTGCTTACTGCTCTTCTGGAGTATCCGAGTTCAGTTCCCAGCAACCACATTGGGTAGCTCACAACTACCTATACCTCCAGCTCTAGAGGACCCAACACCCTATTCTGGCCTCTATGGGCACCCCCCCACACACACGGCATGCACTCACACAGACATATACACATAAATAAAAATAAAATAAACCTAAAAAAAAAAATCCACCAAGATTCCCTCCTCCCAGAGTTTCTGACTCAGTTGGCCTGGGATAGAACTTCACTTCTAACAAGTTCCCAGGTGTTGTCAATGCTGCTGTTCTGGGATTCATTGAGAGAATCAATAGACATCAAGACACCAAGCAGCCTGCTCCGTAATACTCATTGTGATGACAGACCTCCCACGCTTCTAGGAGCCTCAAGGAGAGCCTTGGGGTTACCCTGGGGTACACTGTGGAGTACCCGGAGGAAATATGTTCTTGCTGGGCTCCTTTGGGTCTTATAACACACTACCCATAGCCTTGTCAAAAAGGCACCATCTGTGACCTTAGAGCCAAGACTCCCAGTGGGTGTTTTATTATTTATTCACTTGACAGAGAACAGACATTTGGTTCTATAAGACACCATGCTATTGACCAAACCATTTGCCATTCAACAAACTTCCTTTGGGGTCTTAGGAAGAACCCTTGCATGGCCTGCCAAGAACAGCTCAGTCACTGCAAGGAAAAAGCCAGTCCTGATAAGATCACTGCGAAATCTTCCCAGGGAATCTGTCACACAGACCTTCAGAGCCATTACCCACATTCCAGGCATCATCAAAACAATGGCCATGCTGGGAGGAATAGATGCTCTGAGCTAGAAGATGGTCTTAAAACCATGCCATACCAGGCAACTTGTATACCTTAGAAATACATAAATTAAGTGGTCTACATGTATACAAAAGGGGACTGAATTCCACCCTGTCATGCCAGGCATTTGTGAGGATCTTGAAAGCAAAGATGGTTTTCAATGGAACAGGTATTAAAAATAGAAGGTATTATACACAGGCCCTGTTTCTCTCCTGTCCACCATGGAATCCCTTGGTATTGTCAGGACCTCTCGGCAGCCTCAGCACCCCTACAGGTAACCCATCTGCTGTCTGCATCTTCCGAGACAGCAGAGGACTTGCCCCTGGGCTCTTCTCCTGTGTTCCCATTTCTGCTTGGCGGCGCCTGCGAACCCAGGGGCTGCCTGAGGGGGTGACGCTGCTGTCCGAGGAATAATCTGTGCACTTGCGGAAGACCTCTGGACTGGTGCTAGAGCTCAGTCTACCTTCTTCGGCCAGTGGGGATTTTCTACAGATGCCTTTGCGTTGGGCCAAGGGGCTGCTCCAAGGACTTGAGCATGGGGAGGCATTTGGGCTCAGAAAGAGATTCTGGTGGCCAGAAGGGCTGAGCTTGTTGGTGACCACATGTCGGCGGCCAGCCATAGGGGAGGTGGGATTGCTCTCAGGCTCAGAGGAGCTGTTGGCGGAAGACTCGTCGCCCACGTACTGAAGTTCCTCCACTCTCCTGTTCAGGGACCTGTTCAGGTGGATGCTCGACCCCGGCTCCTCCTCGCGGTTCTTCTCTTTTAAAGGTTTCTTTTTTGGTGGCTTCATCCCAATCAGAATAGCTTTCATGCTCTCTCTGCCCTGAGATTCAGTGATCATGAATTCGTGGGCCTTGATGGCTGCGTCCACCTCTTCAAACTCCACTATGGCACACTCTTGGGTCCCCACCTGGCTGTACCTGCTGCTGATCCTCCGGATGTCAGGGGGCAGCTCTCTTCCAGGTTTCAGGATCCGCACAGATGAGATGATCCCAAAAGTCCCGAAGAGCTTGAGCAGATGCTCCATCACCTTCTCCTGCACCCTTCCATTCTTTTGCGGGGTGGCCAGCGCCCATAGCTTGGGGGACAGGTGTAGGTCATAGACCAGGAGCATCTTGCTGGGGAGATTCTCATTAGGGAACAATGGGACTGGGGTGGTCCTCCTAACTTTCCGGTGGTCCTCATTCAACTCAAGGGTGACGGAATACTTCAAGGCGTGGGCTGTTGTTCTCCAGTCCCGTGTAAGGTGTTTCACCTGAAGAACATAAAGCAAGTCTGAGACAGTATCCAGTCTCCTTGTCCACACTACAGTTAGTATCTAGAATCATACCTGGCATATGTGCGCACTCGAATATCTAGTGGATGAAAGAGACAATAAAAACTCTCTCTTTTCTTTGGTGTGTGTGGGGGTCAGTAGTGGGGATTGAGCCTAGGATGATATGCCTGCAAAGCAAGCGCTCTACCACTGAGCAACGACCCCAGCCCTTACTTTCTACAACTTCAGAAGAGGGTAACACAGTTTAGAACTACAACCACTGGTTGATACTAGAAATTGTCCAAATTTACAGGCTAAATTCCACAGTCTCTAAAATAAGGAGGTTGTGCACGCAAACCCCAAATGCACCCCTACCTAGTAGTAAGCACCTGGAAAATTACTCAGCCTTTCATTGTCCCACCTCCTCATCGATACATGGAAACATCAATAACGTCTACTTCACAGCACTGTCATGAAGACTATATAAGGGCTGAGGAGGTGGCTGAGTTCGTAAAATGCCTGTCATGCAAGCATGAAGACTTGGGTTCAATCCCTAGAGCCCATGTGAAAGAGCTGGGCGTGATGCTGTGTGCTTTTAATCCCAACTGTGGGGAGGCACAGAAAAATGGATCCCTGGGGCTCACTGGTCAGCCAGACTAGGTTACTTGGTGAGTTCTAGGTCAGTGAGAGACTCTGTCTCAAAACTCAAGTGTCGGTGAGGGAGCTAGGGAGAGATGGCTTGGTGGTTAAGAGTGCTTATTGCTCTTACAGAGGACCTGGGTTCGGTTCCCAGCACCCACATCAGGGGGCTCACAACCAAACCAGTTCCAAGGGATCCCATGCCCTCTTGCTTCCATAGGCATATAAATTCAGAGGCACACATAGAAATTAAAGGGACAAGAAGGTGGTTGTCCTGTGGAATAACACCGAAGATTGACCCCTGGCCTCCATCTGTCCATGTTTCCAAGTGTGCGCACACACAACGTAAATGAATAACAAAAAATACATAGATATATTTACATATAAATTTAGAATACTGCCTCACTCAGCAAATACTAAAAAATAACGTGCTAGCAACCACTTACCTACAGCGCCAACCCACATTATTTTTTGAGACAAGGTTTCACTATACACTGTAGGCTGGTCTCAAACTCATGATCCTCTGTCTAGGCCCTCTGAATGCTGAGATTTGTAGATGGTCACCACAGTATGTGCTACCACTCTGAAAGGACTTAGAGATTGCAGCATTCAAATGCTTATCCAGAGCTGTATTTCCCATTTGATACACAGAAGCTTCCAAAAGGTCTTCACTGTTCCTCCACAACCTCCCCAGAGAGAAACATGGACTATACAACCTGGAATCAGATCAGACCTGAGCCTCTTGAAAAATTGAAACAAGCTCCCCTTCGAGGTCGTCCCAAAATGGAAACTGTGTATCAATGTTGCAGTATATAAAGCTATATTTATTTTATAAAAGGACAATTTTGCGGCGGCCCCCTTCTGGTGAAGGACATGCCACGGAGATGAGTCATCCCAAAGAACTGGTGGGTGTGGGTGGAGTGGGTAACCTGAGCCTAGATGTCAAAATCACCCAGAGTCCTCTGAGGCCAGTCCAATAAGGCTGGTCTGCAAAGAAACTGGGAAGTCCCAGTACCCCTGAGCTGCAAACAGAAACTGCATAGAAAGCAAGGGAAGGCTCCCTATGTGGGTGGGGCAGGGACAACTGACAGAGTCATGAGTATTGACCTGCTCCAGGAGTATGTGTGCTATCCCCTCTAGCCTGTGGTTTCTCAGGCTTAGCATGCAGAAATCCTAAGTCACCTACATAGTCCTTGGGACACCGTGCCACAGGCAAAGGCTGAGAAGCAGAAATTTGATTAGGAATCCAGAAAGGGTTAAGATAACTGAAGGTCACTTAAAGGTTGTAGGACAACCAGGACATGGCTCTCTGGAGGCGAGACATGACAGAGCCATCAGCAAAAATCAGCTGGAAAGGGAGCATGTAGACCAGGAGAAGAAGGTGAGAAGAAAAATTCCTCCTGAGCCTGATGGACCTGGGAGCAGAGAAGCAAGGATTGAGGTTAGTGAACTTGACCGCATCCTCCCAGGCAAGCTGTGGAGGACTGGAGAGCATGCGGAGGCTGGATCCAGGTCCCCCTAGGAAGTCTTGGTTGCCCACTGAGCATCTCAGGGTTGTGTCTGTGATCCTTTACAAGGAGTCTCCAGGTATATCAGAAAAGGAACCAGGGAGTCTGATCCTTGTTAATTACTAGTAGAACTTTAAAATAGAGTGTCAGAAACTCTGTGTGGTAGTTAATCGCCATCATCAACTTGACAGGCTTTAGAATCACTATGCCTCTGGGTGTGTCTATGAGGATATCTCCAGAAAGGTTTAACAACAGCAGGGAGATTCACCCTCAGCATGGGCAGCACGGGACTGAATAAAAAGGAGAAAGTGAGCTGAGCACCAGCATACGTGGCTCTCTGTTTCCTGACTGCCGATGCAATGTGCCCAGCTCACACTCCTGCCACCACACCTGCCCCACCAGAACGGATGGTACTGGAAACTGTGAGCCAAAATAAACTCTTCCCTCTTTAAGTTGCTTTGGTCAGGTAGTTTGTCATAGTTATGAGAAAAGAAACTAATATACTTTACAATCTCCCTATATTGGTAACCTTCATCTGATGTTTACTGTGATTAGCAGGAAAACGTTCTGAAGAAATGAGGTCTCTGTGAGATATGAGAGAATCTGTGCACCATGTATCTGGGTTTTAGGCGTCAATCTGTAAGAAAACCATTCTGATTCTTGAAGCTCTCAGAGACCAAAAAGGAACTGCATAGAGGATCCCAGTGGCTGCTTTATTTTCGGATTTCAACCCCTGGAAGCATTTTTCATGCGAAGGCTTTGCCCTCTGCTCTACTGACATGAAATATCCCCTTCCCTTCTAGACCTTGCAGACTCCTATTCATCCTCCAAGGCCCTATTTCAAGCCCCTTCCCACTGCTGGGGAGATTTCTCAGTTTCCAGGCAGAGTGAATTCCTCTGATTAACTAGGTCCCCCTACCCCAATACCTGCTTTGTCTTCTGTCAGTGGTTACGCTGTGGTCTTGGATGGATCTGTTCTTTTATTGGACTGGGAGCTTTTCAAGGGCAGAAGGAACGCCATATTCATTTTTTTCCCCCTGTACCTAACACAGCACTCATCAAATCCAAAGGATAATATATTTGATGAATGAATAAAAGCCAGAGAGTACAAGAAGAGGGCGCAGTATACCAGGGAGCCAGGCAGGGTTGAGCTCCAAGGAGCACAGCTCTCCTCCAGGGTTTTCTGACAAAGTGCACAGGCACCTTGGCAAGGACCCACTTGTTACACATCCCATTATGCAACAGGCAGCGTAGTGGTTTTCCATTCTAGTAAATACACTTCTCTCATGGGAGACACAGAGTTCTTATTCCAACTGGTTAGTCAGCCCTCTGAGAGCAGGGAGTTCAGGGCTGCATCTGTCAACAGCAAGAACAGGCAGTCTCCTTCTTGGCCATCAGCATCCTTAGACATCTCACTGCTCTGGTGCATACAGACCTTGTTGGCATCATATGAAGCAGAGCATGCTGGAGTCAGGGAGGATTCTCTCGCAGTGCTCTGAGGGCTCTCTCCTTCCCGTATTGACTCAGTTTAGCAATGTACCAAACTGTACTCCTAGACTTTACTCCATGTACTCCTAGATTGAACAGGTGTTTCCCAAGGCCATCACACCCTCCTGTCCTGGGATAGGACCCTTTCAGGCAGGCATCCATGTGTGCCTGGTAAGAGGGCCTGAACTTTACTAAGAACCAGCCACAGCATGTCATAATAACCATATGAAATTTGTCCTGGGACTCAGAACCCTTGTCACAGCAAGTCAAAGGTCAACCTTGGGTGTGGCTCCTCTTCAGGCTCCATCTACCTTACTATTTATTTATTTTCAAGACAGGGTCTCTCATTGGCCTGAAGGTTGCCTGGTAGGCTAAGTTGGCTGCCCACCAGGTACCAGGAATCTGCCTGTCTCCATCTCCCCAGCTCTAGAATTCTATGCATGTACCTAGCTTGGTTTTTCACATGGGTTCTGGGGAATCAAACTCAAGTATTCATCCTTGCATAGCAAACTCTTTATTGATTTAACTATCTCCCTAGTTCCTCTAAATTCCTTCTCCTGAGAGTTTTCTCTTTTCCTGACCTCAGAGTTAATTATTTATAATTTATTTTTATTTTATGTATATAAGTGTTTTACCTGCAAGTATACCCATGTGTGCAATACCCACAGAGGCCAGAAGAGGGTATAAGACCCCCTGCAATTGGAGTTACAGATGGTTGTTAGCCACCATGTGGGTGCTGGGAACTGAGCCTGGGTTCTCTGCAAGAGCAGCCAGGGCTTTTAACTGTTGATCCATCTCTCCAGACCCAGGCCTCTGATTTTATTGACAAATTGCTAGGTATGAGGGCTCAAAGGGATCAAAACAAAACAACATCACAACACCAAAAAAGGTTTACTATCACAACCAGCAATACCCCAGAGGTGCCCTGAGTCGTGTCTGAGAAGCCAGCCTCACCTTCTTGAAGGAGGTGAGCAGTTTGACACTCACATAGCCCAGTTTGTTCCTCCTCACGTGCTTGAGCAGGAAGGCATCCTTCTCCAAGTTCTCATCCGAAAAGTAGAATTCAATCTGATCTACCAGCTTCCTGATCAGCTCCTCGTCTGGGGGTGTCCACTCGGGCTCCAGCTCCTCACGCTCATTCTCACCCCCACTCGTTGTGGCACTGCTGAGGCCAGAGGAAGACCATGGGTTAGTTGTGGGTTGAAATGTCATCCCCTAACTCCTATGGTGAAGTTCCAACATCCAGAAACTCAAATGTTATTGGTTAAGATGAGATCACAGTGAGGAAGGCTGGGCCCCTGATCTCATACCACCTAGGTCTTTACAAAAGCTAGGAATTCACAGGGTGATCACTGTGGCAGATGAAAGTAGAGATTGAGTAATGCAGCAGAAGCCAGAGGACATTATAGACCCAGGGAAGGATAGAGGAGAAGCCTGATAGACTTTCCCCCAGGACAGTCAGGGGAAGCAGGACCTTGTGCACATCTTCATTTAAGGCTTCAGGCCCTCACATCTATGAGACAATACATCTTTCTAGCTATATGCCATCCAGCGTGTGGTTCTTTATCACAGCAACTCTAGGAAAATTTACTGCTCACACTTGAATTTGCTTCCTCAAAGGTGATTGACTGACCCCCTGAACACAAAAGGTTGGGTTTCATCCTCAACTACCTGAGAAATCAAGCTTTGGTTTTTAACAAGTATAGAGGATCATTAAAGTAACTCCAGAGGGCTGATGAGATGGCTCAGCAGGTAAAGGTGCTTGTTGCCAAGACTGATGTTTGATCCCTGGATCCCATGGAAGGAGAGAACCAATGTCTGTGATTCGTCTTCTGACCACCTCCTTCTCTCCACCAAACACAAACACATTAAATAAACATAAAAAATTTTTAAATAATAACACCAGGCTGGGGAAATGACTCATCTGGTAAAGTGCTTGTTGTACAGCATGAGGACCTGAATTCAGATCCCCAACACCCAGTAAAAAGCCAGATGTGGTGGTGCCCATCTGTACTCCCAATGTTGGGGAAGCAGAGACAGGAAAAGCCCTGGAGCTTGCTGGGCCGGCAAGTTTAGTCAAATTGGTGAGTTCGATGAGAAATCCTGCCTTAAGAAATAAGACAGAGAGCAACTGAGAAAGATACCCAACATCAATCTCTGGCCTCCACACACATGCAAACACACCTGCACAAAAATTATTTTAAAAAATAATAGCCAGGTGTGGTAGTACACACATTTAATCCCAGCACTCAGGAGGCAGAGGCAGGAGGATCTCTGAGAGATCAAGTTCAGCCTGATCTCTATAGCGAGTTCCAGGCCAGTTGGGGCTACAGGGAGACCCTGTCTATAAATAAATAAACAAATAAATAAATGAGTTTTAAAAAATCGACTGATGTGTCACTCTGCCGCTAGCAGAAACATACTTCCTTATTCAAACCTCCCATCTTCCCACCTCCAGACCCCTGTTTTTAGAAGACAGTATAGCGGAGTAACTTGGTTTTTTAATGAGATACTCCATACTTGTTAAAGACAAAAACTTTCTTAGGTGGTTGGGGACAAACTCTCAGTTCATGGTCAAGGATCGATGATGCTTGGAAGGACATGTATATTTAGAAATGGAAGGGAAAAGAGGGAACACAAAGGGACGATAAGAGGGAGGAAGACTCAAAAAAGAGCAAGTCACGTGTGCCCTGGGGGAGAATATGGAGGAGGCGGACCACAGTGTTAAATCCCGTAGCAGGGTGCAAGAGGACCAGGTGGAGCAGAGGAACCCAGAAGTGGCAAACACACTTGAATGTGTATCTTTGGAGCACAGACCAAGCCGGGGAGGGGTGCTGCACAGGGCGGGGCTCACCCAAATGGATGGGCCCCATCTTACCACTCCAGTGTGAGATGCGGCCATCTTCAGGGGGAAAGCAGACAGGGCCAGGCTTGGACCCTGTGGGACTCCTGACAGACCCTGAGAGACAGGCCACTGCCCTCTCCCCACCTTGCCTTGTTCTTGAGTTCACCTTTGGTCCGGCACAAGCTGCTCTAGTTTGGGAATAGAATTTACTAGTCCATTTGCCTCTGATAGATGAGCCATTTTAGTAAGTTAAATCATTTTCCAGTATACCAGAGTCCAGCCAAAACTCTACCCTGGCCACCATCACACATCCATCCTACCCCTGCTAACTGACAGCCTGATCAGCTGACTCAGAATCCTCTAGGCATTTGGAGTTGTTTCTACTGCTGTAGTGTCTTCTGTGGATATCCCATTATAAAAAGAAGATTAGGGTCATTTATGTCCCAAAGCCCCTTCTTCCAACTGTAACATTTTTATTTACTGTTGGTTTTTCATTGGCCTTCTATGAGTTTCTTTGGATTTGGAGATAGGATCAAATGCAGCTCAGGCTGCCCTAAAATTCACCCAGTAGATGAGAATGACCTTGAATTCTCAATTTTCTTGCCTCCACCTCCCCAGGGCTGGGACTACAAGTGTGCACCACTACACCTGATTTATGCATGCTGGGGATCAAACCTGGGGTTTCGTCATGCACACCAGGCAAGCATTCTACCAACTAAGCTACATCCCAGCCCTCTTTCCTTTCCTTTTCTTTTCTTTTTCTTTTCTTTTTTCTTGGGGGACCCAGTATCCCTATAGCCCCAGCTGGCCCAGAACTCACTATGCAGAGCAGGCTGGGCTCAATCTCATAGAGATCTGCCTGCATCTGTGCTGGGACTACTGCGCATCACCACACTTGGCTCCTATTTCCTTTTATTTTTTTTAAGAGGATCCCCTGGAACTGGAGTTAGGGATTGTTGTTACCACCACATGGATGCTGGCATTCAAACCAGGGTCCTCTGCAAGAGCAGTCAGTGCTCTTAACCACTGAGCCATCTCACCAGCCCAAGTTGTCTGTTGACTCCCCACCAGGGAATCAAACCCCAGGCTCCCACATGACAGGCAGGGATACTCGCCACTATACCTATTTGCTTTTAAAGAACACCTTTAAGATGGTTTCTTATTTCATTGATATTAATATATTTCAATTACTGTTCACTACATAAATGCTTGTAATACTGTCCCACTTCCCTTCTAATCTCTCCTTCCTCTTCCAGCCTTCCAAATTCTATTGGATGAGCTTCCATTTCCTTTCGCCACAGTTCATTATTTCACTGTTATGTCACTAATACTCTAAGTATTGTCTAGAGATAGATATGGAAATTGAAATTCAATCCATTTCATTATGGCTATGCAAACATACTCCAGCCAGGAAAAGTTATTTGGTAAGATAACTTTTTTTTCAGTGCTGGGTGGGGATCAAATCCAGGGTCTTGTGCATGCTAGACAAACACACTACCACAGAACTCTCTCTGTCCCTCCCTCCCTCCTTCCCCTCTCTCTTTGAATAGAGCAAATATAGATTTATTAAGAGAAAGTGAGGAAAATTCCTGAGAGTGGGAGGTGCTCCAAGGAGGAGGAACACCATAGCATTGCCCAGCAATGGGCAACAGTGCAGTTTTACGGGTCTTATGGTAGAAACTGGGTGGAGACTGAGGTCATCTTTACTGAGATTGGTCTTTTTTTTTTTTTTTTTCTAAGTGAATCATGGGAAAGTCAATGAGGAGTCTACAGGCCTTAGGCCTATTCCTTGGCCCAGCTGGAGAGTAACTGTGCAGTAATCATCCCATCAGGGAAGGGACCACCCGCCCCCCGCTCCCCATGATCTTGATGCTCTCTCTTCTAATAAAGCTCATTCAGAAGAGTAATTTTGTGTCAGCTCCTTTCCCAAACCTGCCACTCTGACCTGCATCTGATTTCTAAAGGTATTCAAAGAAAATGGGGTGGGTGGGGGTGATGTGTTTTGGGTAGAACTCAGAAAAATAGGTAAGTTTAGCAGTGAGGGTCTGTAAGCAACTACATCAGGCAGGTGTTCACTAAGGGGACAGTTTCTCTCATCACCTTAACATGTCTTCAGGTGTATTAGCTATTCTGATACCATCTCTTTGAGATAGGTTTTTTGTTTTTGTTTAGCCACAGTCATATGTAGCTCAGGTTAGCCTTGAAGGCACTATGTAGCTGCATTAGTGAATTTTCTGTTGTGATAAAACACTGTGACCAGGGGAACTTATAAAAGGAGTTTATTTGAGGTTATGGTTCCAGAGGAGTTAGAGTCCATCATGGCTGGAAGGCATGGTGGCAAGAGGTGGCCAGAGAAGAAAGAGGAGCATCACATCTTCAAGCAGGCACAGGAAGCAGAAAGAAATTGGAAATCCCTCAAGGCTTAAGAACTCTCAAAGCCCACCCCCAGGGACATGCTTCCTCCATTATGGCCACACTTCCTAACGCCTCTAAAAACAGTGCCACCAACTGGGGACAAAAAGTTCAAATACTTGGAGCCTATGTGGGACATTCTCTTTCAAACCACCACATTGTAGCTCAGGCTGGACTTGGGCTCCTCTGATCTGATGCCCCCACCTCCCATGTGCTAGGATTAAAGGCAGGCATGCACTACCACATGCAGTTGAAATTGTAAGTCTCTTCTGAGAGTATTCTAACAGTAGACTGACCATCTGAATTGACCTTCTATGCTTGCTTTTTATCTCCTGTATTATTTGCCTTTGATTTACATCCTGGGAACTGTCACTTGCATTATATTGTGAACTTTCCTACCGTATTTTAAATTTGCAGTCATTCATTTAATATATGAGTGACTTTTAATCCTCAGACTGTATACACACACACACGCACACACACCACATACACTTTTTTGCATGTGCATGCATGTGTGATGTATATGTGTATGTATTGAGACAGGGTCTCTCACTTGAACCCAGATCACTGACTCAGCTAGATCTCCCGCTTGCTCTGAAGATCCCCTGTGATCCTTTCTATTGCAGTGATGAAAACACTGACCAAAACAAGCTTGGGGAGGAAAGGATTTATTTGGCTTATAGCCCACAGTCCATCATCAAGGGTAGTCAAGGCAGGAACTTAGGGTAGGAACCTGGAGCACAGATCATGGAGGTATGCTATGTACTGGCTTGCTCCTTAGCCTTCTTTCTTATACAACACAGGACCACCTACCCAGGGGTGGCACCACCCACAATGGGACCCTCCCACATCACTCAACAATCAAGGAAATGCCCCTCAGATGTGGCCACAAGCCAGTCCAATGGAGG